CTCTTCCCTCCCACGTCTGTAGCGTGGGCACTTCCTGCCAGTCCGCCGGCAGCCGGGTACAGGAAACAGAGATTCCTGTCCTGCGTTCCACGCCGCCCGGCCACGCTACATTGAGAGACCGGCGGGAGGGATTGCTCTACGCTTCCCTCCTGCTGGTCACTCACATCCGGCCGCCCTCCACAGCAGTGCTGCGCCACCTGAGGCTTGTAAAAGCGCTCAGGCGGCGCAGCATGAGGAGGCGCCGGGCGCAGGGATCCGGCGCCCCCTGCTAAGGTGCGCCCTAGGCGGCTGCCTAGGTCGCCTTACAGGTAGCATCGGCCCTGCCTTTAGGAGAGAGCAAGAGACAGGTATGTGAGGCAGACAGGGCCAGACTGGGAGAAAAATTCGGCCCAGGCATTTTTTAATTACAGTGGCCCACTAAAAAGGAGGCGGGGCCAGATAGGGTGTGTTTTGTCATCACCAATGACAAGCACGCCCCCTCTCAAAGTGAGCATGTTGGTTCAATGCTCTTCCAGGGTAGACCATGCGCAGAGCTCTGCTGAAGAGCTCTGGCATGAGAAAAATACCCTGTATTTGTTCTGCACAGCGCAAGCAAATTTAATAACATGCTTGCACTGTGTTTGCTTGAAATTTGTCTCTGGTGTCTCCAATGCCAGGAAAGCATATTGCGCAGTGTGTGCGTGTGTGTGTAAGGGGTGTAGTGTGTGTGAGAGGGGTGCAGTGTGTGTGTGAGTGATGGGTGCTGTGTTTGCGTGATGGTGCTATGTGGGTAAGGGTGCAGTGTGTGTGTGTGTGAGGGTGCTGTGAGTGTCAGGGGTGCAGTGTGTGTGCTGTGAGTGTTAGGAGTGCAGTGTGTGTGTGTGTGTGTGTGCTGTGAGTGTTAGGGGTGCAGGGTATCTGTGAGTGAGGTTGCTGTGATTATACCTGAGTGATTATTTCCCCCCTCCCTGCTTACCTTATGCCTGGGAGGGGGGATCCTGCTGCTGGGGCTGCCATCCATCCCTGGTGGTCTTAGTGGTGAGTGAACTCTAGCCATGGCAATGCTCCGAATCTCGCGAGAGGAACCCGGCGGAGCTGTAAGTTAAAGCTCTGCCGGGTTCCTCTGCTGGCAGGCTGGCTCCCTCCCTCTCTCCCCGCCGGCGGCCGGAATATACTCTATGTGGGTGAGATCTCCCCACCGGCCCGCTGTAGACTACTGCAGGGCCGGCGCTCGGATAGTGCCGTCCCTGCAAAGACCGGCAGGGAGATCCTGTGATCTCCCTGCCGGCCTCGGCCCACGGCCACCGCGGCCCACCGGGCATTTGCCCGGTGTGCCCGATGGCCAGTCCAGGCCTGCACATACACACACACACACACACACTACATCACCCCTCACACACATACTGCACTCCTAAACACATTACATTCCAAACACACACTAGATCCCTTACCCAACTCTGGATCATATACATACACTAGATCCCTTTATACACTCTGAATCCGTTATATACACACACTCACTAGATCTCCTACATATTCTGGGTCCTTCAAACACACACTAGACTCCTGTATACACACACACACACACACACACACACACTACATTCCTAAAATACACACTCTGGATCCCTTATAAACACACTAGATTAATTGTAAACAAACACATACTACACCCCTAAACACACACTCTCTACAACCTCTACAAACACTACATCACCTTTATACACACACACTATAGCCTGTATGCACTCACTAACTACATCCCCTATACACACATTCTCTACAGCCACATATGCATTACATTACACCAAAAACACAACACGACTAAAACTGACCTTATTACACAATACCACACCACAATCAGCTCACTCTACACACACACACACACACACAATTCCACAAGCAGGCTCCAAACACATGCACAATACTCTTTCCTGGCCCTTTTGTCTCCTGGTATCCATTTATAGAGACACCAGAGACAAGTTGCAAGGAAACAGTGCAAGCATGTTATCAAATTTGCTTGCACTGTGCAGAACAAATACAGGGCTTTTTTTGGTCTGCCCTGGAAGAGCATTGAACCAACATGCTCACTTTGAGAGGGGGCATGTTTGTCATTGGTGATGACGAAACACACCCTCTCTGCCCCGACCCCTTCTTAGTGGGCCGCTGTGATAAAAAAATGCCTGGGCCGAATTTTTTTCCCAGTCCGGCCCTGTCTGCCTCACATACCTGTCTCTTGCTCTCTGCTAAAGGGCAGTACTCTACTCTCTCCTCCAGCTCTGCTTCACTCCCACCTAATTTGACTGCAATTTCCTGTCCTAATGTGTTTTATACCCCACCTCCTATAGAGTCACACAGGTAACATCACATCTCCACCACTATGTTTCTCTTAGGGGTCCATCTTCAACTCCTGGTGGTTCATCTGGCTGGAGTTCTCATGAAAGTTGTACATTCATGTAGACCATGTATAATTGCAGACATATTCCTTTTCTTAGATCATTTTATTGCACTATCATTCTTAAAGGGATTGTACAGTGTTCGGAATACAAATCTGTATTACTAACACTAGAGAGCACTCTGGTCCCCCCTCTCTTGCAACTCTCTCTTGCGCTCGGATAGTGCTGGCCCTGCATAGACCGGCAGGGGATGTCCTGTGACCTCCCCTGCCGGCCTCGGCCCATGGCCACCACGGCCCACCGGGCATTTGCCCGGTGTGCCCAATGGCCAGTCCGGGCCTGGAGGCAGAGGTTAGTCTGGGAGACCATAGGCTTTCCTAAAGAAATGGGTTTTAAGGCCCTTCTTAAATGATTGAAGACTAGGGGAGAGTCTGATGGTGGTAGGTGGGCAATTCCATAGGAAGGGAGCCGTCCGCAAGAAGTCCTGCCATTACGAGTTGGCCGTACGGGTGCAAGCAGCGGACAGAAGGTGGTCACAGGCAGAGCAGAGAGGGGCATACCTATGGATCCTATGGATCTGTGAGGAGATATAAGAGGGGTTAAGATTATTCAGTGCTTTAAAGGTATGGGTTAGCACTTTGAATTGACTCCTATAGGATACAGGAAGCCAATGTGAGAGGACTGACTAGAGAGGAAAATTGATCTAGCAGCAGCAGCATTCATTACAGACTGTAGCGGGGCAATATGGCTATTGGGAAGACCAATTAGGAGAGAGTTACAATATAGAATTATAAACAAAAAAGTCTCAAGATAATCACACAGCTGAACTACATATCCCATAAACACTGCTCCCACTGAAATCAATGAGAATGAGGATTGGCTAATAAATCCCAGACGTATCTATGCTCCAGAAACATCAAACGATGAATACGCAAGTGTATAATGGTGTAAGGAAGGAAAAGTTAAAATACATGAAACCACCTCCTGTATTAAAAACGTGGTCACAACCCACAAAAGGTTATTGATCACAATCAGGGGTCTTCATAGTTTGGTTCCTGCAGATCCTGGACAACTAAAATTAGAGAAATGTATTCATATTTATACATGGTGCTTACAGATCGTAAAATGTAATGATCAGCATTTTTTTAATTGGCATTGAAATCCAAATGTTTCCCATAATTACTACAGTAACCAATTTCTCAAGCCTGAAATGTATTTCCTGTTGAACTATTTTCAGCTGAAATGTACACACATTCCAGAAATCTTTTTGTATTGTATTAAAATTTGTTAATAAACAATACTTATGGGAGCGTGGCTAGGACGCCGAGCAAGATGGCAGCATAGTGTGAGAGCTCACAACCGGCTCAGCACATTTCCTCGCAGCACCAAGTGTCAGGTCTAAATATGGGGAAATCTCACAGAGCCGCGCTAGCCACTAAGTCCGTGCACACCCCAAAAGGGTCCCCGGCTAACTCACTCAGACAATTCCTGGTCACGCCGGCCTCTCAGGCCTCCAATGACTCGGAGACCACGGACTGCACCCAATCACTATCCCGGAGGGTCCGGCGCGGCCGGCCCGACGGAAGCCCCACCAGGGTGGATGACAATGCTAAGCAACTTATCTACAAAAGCAGACCTCAAAGAAGCAAAACACAGCTTTGCAGAAATCAATAATGGCAGAACTGCACGCCATGCGGGAAGACCTGCAGGGCCTTTATCACAGGGTCTCCCAGTTGGAAGCAGACAACAACCACGTGCAGTCGGTTCAAACAACAACCACAGACGCCATATATAAGTACTCCAAACAGCTCAGACAAATGGCTTACCACTTCGAAGACCTGGACAACAGGGGCAGAAGGCAAAATATTAGAGTAAGAGGCGTCCCTGAATACACCACCAGCCCGGAGCCAGTCAAAGAGATCCTTAACAATGTTTTCAACAAAATATTGGGCAGGCCCAAACCAACCCCGATTGATTTTATTAGAGCACACCGCGCACTGCGCCCAAAAGGGGCCCCAGATGACCCCCCAAGAGACATCATCTGCTGCCTCGCTAACTTTCAAATTAAGGAGGATATCCTAAGGAGAGTGAGAGAAATGGATCGCATACATGTGAACGGAGCAGAGGTCCAACTGTTTCCGGACCTGTCCCCGGCCACGCTGGCCTACCGCAGGGCGATGCGCACACTAACAAGGATCCTTCAATCCAATAAGATAAGGTACCGCTGGAACTTCCCATCCGGTATGCAAGTCTCCACACCAACTGGACCTCTCATGGTTAGAGAGGCGGAAGACCTAATCGGATTAACCCGGGAACTACAACTCCCCCCGGTCCAAATGCAGTGGCCTGATCCCTCAGGCTTTTACACATTTACCTCGACCACCTGGAGGCCTCCCCAAATACCCCAGAGACAAAGTCGGTCCTACATGCAAGCCACG